CTCATTATGTTATATTAACCACGTTTGATATTTACATGACATGACACTCTACATGTCGTTTATATATTACAGTATATAGTAAATTAATGAATTCGATTTTTCCAAAGCAAATAGTTTGGAATGAATAACAATGTTAATATTTCCTACTGGCATTGAAGGCAGCATCATGCAATCGTGAAAACGACAGTGGGACTTGTTGGGGGCGGGGGGAGGTGAGTGAAAGGACCGCAGAGGGAGGCTGTTCGATCACTGTGGTCGCTTTACTTTGGTTGATCACAAACCGGACTCTTTATTCCACAGATCACATATCGATTATTGTTTTCCAGCGCAGCGCGAGGTGAGTCAATCCGCCTGCATGTACGCCAGCAGGCGAGTTAGCGAGTTAACGTTAGCATGACGCTAAACAGAAACAGACCCACCCGACCCAGGGAGCTAGCTGACAGGCTAGCTACATTAGCGTCACCCGAGGAGCGGGCGGTGTACGAGGCGTATTATTTTTTAATGGAGTTCTAAGGAGGCTTTATTGACTATGTAATGTTGTGGCTGTGGTGCTAGCATGTTGCTTCTGGTCCTGACAGAGGGAAAGAATCGCTGGTTGTCTCCTCACAAGTCATTCTGTAAGCTAGCTCTGTTGGCGTTCGCTGTTTAATGGCCAGGCTGAGTGGGAAGAGCATTTTTTTAATGGACGCTGATAAATATGAGTGACTCTGATGGTCACACTTGTTATTAATAATGTCTACACAGTCGCTCTCCGGATAAAACGTGAATGATAAACTCGCTGCTGACGCACTTTTAATGTTTGCGTTCATTGGACGCTTCGGAACTGGGTACACCTGTACTTCTGCTAGCCTAAAGTCAATCTATGTGTTCTCACATATCATGTGTTAGGGCTAAGCAATGATGAATAACTATTGCTATATAATGAAATAACTAATGTATTGTGCAAACACAGTGAGATATTACACTGATCTACTTTAGATTTGTGAAATGTTTTGTTGTTTATCACTGTGTCTGTCCTTAAAATATAAATATAAAATATAGTTTACAACCACAACCTTCACAAGGAGCAAAAAGTCAGTCATTAAAGTAGAACTAATAATCTGACGTTTATTGTGATAATTATGGATTCATAAGAACATTTGTATCTTTATCATTTCTAGTCTTATCGCCTAGCCCTAATGTGTTTGCTCACATTCTGTTAAAGGTAAATCAGGTTGAAACTGTTTGTGGGGTTTTACAAACCTCCCTTACTAATGACATTAGTGTGTGAAGCAAAAAAAGTTATGTCTACCTCTGTGACGCAGGTTTTCTCGAAGATGTGTGCCTGCAAAATTAAATACTCAAACAATGTTCAGTGTACATGCTTTTAAAACACTTTTCTATAAAAAAATTTACAAAGGTTTTCTGTAAAGTTTCTATTATAAAGTGCACTAAGCATGATTGTATATGGTTTCAATGCTGACAGTTAATCCTGCCTCACAGAAGTTTTAGTCACAGGGCTCTTGCAATAGACTGAATTCACTTATGCAATAAGCTGTTAGGTGGCTGTGTGTTCTCTGCCCTGAGAACATTGAGTTGTGTAAATACTTCAGAGTGTTTCTGCTTCTTTCTTTGCTTACAGGTGAGCGCTAGTGAGGATGACAATGCCGCATGTGGGGGCAGTATTTGCAGCAATAACAGGAGTGATGGCCATCATGCTGCACTCCTCTATTCACAAGATAGAGGAAGGACACCTCGCTGTGTACTACAGGTATCACAACACTGAAACCTGTGATAGAGACAGAAACAACCTACATATGCTGTGTGTGAATGTGGATGGCATATTGTTATTTGTATGAGGCCCATGTTTAGATGATAGATAAGCAGATATTGCCTGGGGAAACGAGCCATACCTGTTACATGAAAGAGGAAGTGTGTACAAATTGAACATTGAATGATCTGCAACACAAATGTTGAACAGTAACAATGCTATAATACTGCTGTACTCTAACAACATTTTATTATTTAGTAACATAACTGCACCCTCTTAAATTACTGTTAATCCTTTCCCCACCTTCTTTAAATAAAGCAGCAGATAATTCAGTGTTGAGAAGTCAGACCAAATCGTCTGTTTCTATTGGTTTCAGGGGTGGGGCGTTGTTGATTTCCCCCAACGGTCCTGGATATCACATCATGATGCCTTTCATTACCACCTACAGATCAGTGCAGGTAAACTCACCTTTCAGCAATAAAACTTGGTCTGTGAGCAGAGCTAATCTTGGAAAGCAGAGTCAACTGTCCTGAGCTGGACATGGAATTCAGAAGGGGATTTTCCATAAATAAGTCAGCTACCATATGCACACATTTGGCACACAATCGTAGCTGCAATGCCGCCGCTGATGTGGTGTTATTGTACACCAAGTAAGCCTAGTAAAGAATCTATTGAATGTGTCCTAAAAATCTACAGTGTTACAATAAAAAATACCCACCAATTTATTAGCCTTAACATTCAGGTAGCATTAATAATATTTGATTAATCTCACCTTTGCAGGTAATAGTCTTTAAATGTCATTCAAATTGTAGAAACCCTGTAATTTTTCTCCATGCTCAAATTTTCTGAAATCCATAAATATTTATGGCAATATTCCATAAATGTGGAGGATGCATATTGTTATAGCCAATAACTTTTATCTGTATATATTGAACATAAACAGTAAAGTTTAATAGAATAATCTAAACTCAAGTCCCACCCATCTAACATTTTCCTCAACATTCAACTCTAAATCAAGATCAGGTCTTAGTTGTCATGGGAGATCAGGTAATTTAAGGAATTAGGTTAACTGGTCAAACTAGTATGTCCAAAAACTAGAGTGAACTTTCTGTATTCTTAAAATATTAAGTTCAAGATGTATATATCACAGACTCCACAACTTCTCATCCTTATCTTGACATACATTTTTTTATAAACTTAAAACACATAGCAGATACTTGTTCATGTGTGGATATTTGTAGCTGGAGAATAATCGTTAAATTTTTTATCAGACTACTCTCCAAACTGATGAGATCAAGAATGTGCCTTGTGGAACCAGGTAAGACTGAGCTTAACAACAAAACAAAGATCAGTCTATTCAGGAGGACGATGTAACTAACAGAGACTTTTCTTTCTTCACAGTGGTGGTGTGATGATCTATTTCGACAGAATAGAGGTAGTTAACATGCTGGTCCCTTCAGCAGGTACATAATGTTCCTCCCCCTTTTCAAAAGTTCATCATTTGGTTGATTCATGAGCTCCCGCTGGCTGCTGAGTCTTACTTGTGTTCATGTATGTGCAGTGGTGGACACTGTGAGGAACTACACTGCCGATTACGACAAAACTCTAATTTTCAACAAGATTCACCATGAACTCAACCAGTTCTGCAGCGTGCACACACTACAGGAGGTCTACATAGAGCTGTTTGGTGAGTGAACTTTTGACGAAGCGTTGTTTTGTTTAGATACATTATAAAGAAAACAACTTGTCCTGCTTGCTCATTACTGAAATTCCTGAAATGTGATGCACAGGATGTTGTGTATTCAAACAGCAGCTGCTGTTGTTTTGTCTTGCAGACATTATAGATGAAAATCTGAAGACTGCTTTGCAGAAAGATCTCAATGCGATGGCACCTGGACTTACAATTCAGGTATTTAAACAGTATATTTTACTCAATGTATCAAACAGTATTGGAATACTGTTTAAATACTGTAAACTGTCGTAGCTTCATTGTGGACCTTACCGTATCTAAGGTGTACTTTCTCAATATTACTGCACACTGTGGTCAACATTGACTACAAGGATGCTGCATTCTTACTAAGAAAAACCATACTAGCCTGAGAACCAGTCATCCTCTTTGTGAAATAATATGTTTGTTAGATTACGAGCAAAGGCCCATCTTGTTTCTCTCTCTTCTCCTCTGCACTGTTTCAATACCATGATGAAGGCAGTCCGGGTTACCAAGCCAAAGATCCCTGAGTCTATCAGAAGGAACTTTGAACTCATGTGAGTGTGGTGCTAATTTCTAATTCTCTGTTACCCACTCAGTTCCATTGAGACCACACAAAAAGGAAAACATTTGCAAGAGTTTATTTATATATATATATATATATGTGTGTGTGTGCGTGCAGGGAAGCAGAAAAGACTCGTCTGTTAGTAACAGCTCAGACTCAGAAGGTGGTGGAAAAGGAAGCAGAGACTGAAAGGAAGAAGGCCATTATTGGTAAATGTGGTGTCATGCTCTAATTCAGCTTGATATTTTTTTCATTTGCATGACCCATGGTTACAATTTTATGAGTTTCCCTTTTTCAGGCACTTGTCTGTGTAACCTCACTATTGATCTCTGCCTTCTGTAAAAAGGTGTGAAAGCTCACAGGTTTCTCTGTTCCACAGAGGCTCAGAAAATGGCTCAGGTCGCAGAGATCCACTTCCAGCAGAAAGTAATGGAGAAAGAGACGGAGAAGAGGATCTCTGAAATAGAGGGTTAGCCTGATATCAGTTTGCTTCTGTGACATGTTTTTGTGTATGCACTGTCCTCATTCAACACTGTCTCTTTGTCTCAGATGCTGCCTTCCTGGCCAGGGAGAAGGCCAAAGCTGACGCAGAGTTTTACACTGCTGCCAAGTTTGCTGAAGCAAACAAGGTAAAAAAATGGTGTTGAGATTTTTTCACACACAAATAAAATAACATTTAATATGCAGTAGGGTTGTCAATGTGTCTCCAAAATCGCATTCATATGGCATTCCTTATAATTGTTAATATTCTAATTGTATTCAAATTGTTTATGAAACTTTTCATATCTTTTTCTATGTACCATGTATACCGCAGCTCAAGAGATTCAGGGTCTCGACTATTTTCTCTGCAAGCAGTTCACAGAAAATAGACTGAAAATGATCAGTTGACAGTAAAATATACATTATACCATCAGCAGAACACCTTTCACAAGAGTTGCAGTGAGCGTTCCCTTTTCTCCTTCTTGTCTGTGTCTTTATATCCAATCAGTGGTCAACAAAACCACCCTGTTAAACTCAATGTAGAAAGACAGGGTTAGCAGCAGCAGCAGTGCCACAGTTAGCATGCTCTCTGTGTGGACAACACTTGTGCAAGCCACACCAGATCAGCCACGCGCTGCACATGCACCCAACGCGGCCAGGGTGTTAAATTTTCACGTGCATATTGGCCGAGCTTTAGCTGCTGAGCCAACACATTTATACAAAAAACTACACACTTGAATTGTAATTGGAGCATTCGAATGATATATATTTTTCTCTCAAATCTTTTCAGATGAAGTTAACCCCAGAGTACCTGGAGCTGATGAAGTACCAAGCCATAGCAGCTAATAGTAAGATCTACTTTGGCCAGGACATCCCGAACATGTTTGTTGAAGGAACCAACGGTTCACCTAAGTCCGTGCACCCCGCTAATCTACCCCATGTTGATACAGACGGGCAGTGACTCCATAGCCATGCTTCTGCACAGGACAGGAGAAACTGATGAGGACTTTGTCTTGTCTGTGGGGTGGAGAGCACTGAACTGAAGTTGATGGGTGGGATAGCTTTGCAGCTAGTTTGGTGAACAATACACTTCAGTCTTAAATGTATATGGCTAAGAAAGTGGGGGGGAAGATGAGGTGAAAGGCGAGCAGAGGGGAGAGGTAGAAAAGGTGAGATAAAAAGGGAAAGCTGCTGCTCTTTTAGAAAAGATGCATTTTAGGTATGGGAACGATGCCATTGTTAAAAATCAAAAGCAGAATTAATGCTTATGATTGGGAAGGCGACAGCAAGTCGCCCTAATTTACATGTGCTTGCAATCAGTGCAGTGCTGAACTTTGCTTTTGGATCTGCATTCATTTTGTTTGTTTGTTTGTTTGTTTGAATGCAAGAGGAGTGATTTGTGATGATGAACATGATTTATTTTATTAAAAATTAATTTCTGCTTTAGCTTAACTTGAATCTGACAGGGGATTCGATCATCTCTTGCACTAAATCACTAGTCTCTCAACATGGGTCAGTGTGAGGGCTGTTTTAATCACACCCCATGGTGGTGAAGGGTTACTACAGGAGTACAAACATTAAAGCAATGATGGATATAGCACTGTTCACTACCAGAAGTTCATCTAAATTTGTGGAAATTGCACAGAGTTAGTTTTATGATGTTGTTCTATAACCAAGTGGCCTGACTTTGTTATATCTTCACCTGAGCCTCTGTTAAGTAGAAAGTAGATGTTATTCTATTGATACTCAAGTCTTTAAAGTGGAAAGGCGGTCAGCATGTGTTCGTATGCAGTGATGTCAGAGTGGTTGCCTTGTTTGAGTTTGTTGTGGAGAGTGCAGCCACTACAGAGGAGCTGAACTAAGGCATTAACTGTGAAGCCAACTGAGAAAAAAGGCTCTAATGCTGCTGAAATCAAATCAAATTTTCTTTGATAAAAATAAATTCAAGATGATCGATAGTTCAAAGCTAATTAATATGGGAGCGCATGAATGGATGAGTCGGATTCTAGAGAGTTAACACTGGAAGAAGTCGTAATTTGTCTTCCTTGTCAAAAAGTCTGTAAATCTTTCTTTCCTCTGTCTGGTTTTGACTATTGGGTGGGGGCATGCATGTGGGAAATTCGTTTTGGCTTTATTTACATGATTGGTAGTGCGTGCGTTTGTCTGCTTACTCAGTTCTTTCAAATTAATTACAGATTATTGTGAGGTGGCTCAATGCACATTCTCAGGAAACTGAACTTTTATTTGAATAGTACGGCTGCTTAAAGCTTAAACCCTGCAAAGACAGTTTTGTATAACAAAAAAAGAAAAACAGCTGAAATGTAGTGCAATGCTATGATTTTTTTGTCATAAAAACACTTAAACTAAATTAAAAAAAAACGTTATTATTATTTAATGTGACATTTTCATTGCATGTCACCGTTTATCTACTCCATCTGTTTTCAGAAGGTGTCTGACATTAGAATAACACAAAAAGTCCCCTTCCACTGTTTACAATTTTGTGTAACAGCAACAACATTTTCCAATCTTTGCTTAAAGATGAATTTAAATTATTTTAATTGTGATGCAAGAAACATGCAACTCCTAATTCTAATAGTATTACACTTAGTGAGACACAAACACAGGCTTTGTTGTATTACAGTGAATGTTGATATTGCTTGGACTTCAACCAGATGCAAATTGGTGCTAGTTTTTATTGTGTATCGGTTTTTGGATGTTCCTCAGCTCTGTGGATCAGAAACATGGAAATACTATTCAGAATTCTAGCCTTAAATAACGATGGTTTACCCCAGACTGAAGAAGTCAGTGATGATTATAAACTAACAGTTTGGAAGTTAAAGGCTACACACTGCATTTGCTTCGGTGGCGGGTTCAAATAAAGCTACAACAGAGCGGTATGAATTCCTCTTAAAAATGATTTTCTTTTTTTGTCAATATTTTGTACAATCTGTGAAATGTAAACATTGTCTCTTTGTTTTAAAAAAGGTTTATATGACAAAATGTTTTCAAGTTTTGACAATGTTCTACAATAAAACCTATTTTGGTACCTCTCTTCTCCCCCTGCGTCTCTCTGTGTAGGCATGGTGTAGTACACATGGAAGCAGACAGGAGGAGAACTAACACCACGTCATTATTGAATGCTCTGATTCAGCTGTTCTAAAGCAGATGTTTGTGGCGAGTGAAAGACAAAGAATAGAGCAAATCTACAGGAAAGAATAAAGATCAAATGATGGGTAAATAGCATGAAAAACAACATTTAGACAAATGTAAGACCACAAAAATAATTGCTTGAGGGGATGAGTTTGTAAGAGTGACAAGTAAAATCAGTTGTGTGTGTGGAGAAAGGGATACAGTTGACCTAGTACATCTGGGTAAAAGTGTGAAACTCAAACCTCAAATTTCCAATGCTGCGTGTTTGGATTGAGGACCTGGTTTTGAAGGTCAAAACTCCCACTCCAAATTCTTAAATAATTTTTGCGATTACAAATGTTTTCTATATATTTACAAAAATGTCTTAAGTATATAAGGCTTTCACAGGTTTAGTGGTGATTTCTAATTATTTCTGATCATCACTCCGCAAACTCAGAATTTAAACCCATACTGAATTACAACTTTTTTTAATTTCTCTCTTTTAACTTAAAAAAGCATACCATACCATGGTAATGTGTTGGCTGCTTATTTATTTCATTGGCTGTGTTTCTGGCAGCATGGCGATGAGTCAGTGTACGCTGAATTAAACATATACACAGTCTGTCACACAGTATCTGTTGTTCTAACCTACTTCACGTGTTGTAAACCTTTCATACACTAACTTTGTATTAAGTTTGTACAATCACCCCCCCCTCCCCCCATCCCAACGGACTGACTCTAAACCCTCAAGTCCTGCCCTCACCGAGGCCAGTCAGCTGTTCACTATAGAGGCTTTCCAGGAAGTGTGAGCAAACATGTGACAACTGCTGGCTGAATGACTAGATGAGGGATAGCTTCCTTTTGGGAACTCTCAGTCCTTGTGGAGGTCTCTCCTTCACAGCACACACCATCAGTCTTTGCTTTCCAAGAGAGGCTGTTTAGTTTAGTTTGACCCCAACTTATTCCTATATCTCAGTATTTGTGACAAATGTGATCATAAAGCAGGTTTGTGAGTATGTCCTCATATTGTTTTTATAACTGGAGTTTTTGTGGATGTCTAGTGGTCCGTGCTTATTTAAACGGGAGGTCTGATTTCGTGTCTGGGGTACAAAGTCAGCGAGTTTAAACCCCCACCCTCCCGCCTCAGGAAGTCAGGTCAAGGTCAGGTTTTGCTGCGCTCTGGTTGCGCCAGCGTTTCTCTTTCCTTCCTTTTTGTCCCTGACTTCAAATCACCAGATCCTGGATATGTGCCTCCCCAGAGATTCATGGGTGTGGTCGCTCATCTCTCGGTGCAAAATCCAGTCCTCGAGCAACTGTGTGTTTCTGAATATGATTCATCAGCAGCAGACCGCGCCAGCATCAATAGCTGCTCAGTTTTCTCTCACATTCCTATTCTCTTTGTGAGTGTGTGATTCGCTTGTACAAAAAGCTTCACCACTGCTGTTGCTCAAAGATCTGCCTGACCTCCTCAACATTTCTGCGTTGATCATCTATTCAACCCTCAACTTTACAAATTCAGGTCAGTTTACTCGTCGTGAGTAAGTGCTCAGGCTGTGAAAACATGAATTCTTCTGAGGTTCTGCATGGGGTTTCTTCAGGGCAAATAACGCTGATGTCATTGGGTTATCCTAAGGCTAAGTCAACACAACTACAGTTTAGTTTTCAAAAGCATCACTGCACACATCAAATTTACCTCCGCCATCCACGCTAGTCAAGAGTTTTCGAGCGGCAAAAAAAAAAAAATCAGACATTAACTATACTCGTGACTATACTCGTGACAGTTTCCTGCAATTTTCCAAATGTGTATGTGAGATTGCAAAAGTCTGAGTCAGTTCATCTGGACGTTTTGTGGAACATTTCCGATCAATCCCATTGGTAAAACATCCAGAAAATGTCTGGGTGAAAATACTTCAGGACAATGCACAGAAAATTAACAAGTGAGCAAGTGAGCGTGTTGATATAGTTTCTAAAACGTAGCGGATTCAGGATGACAGAGACACAAAAGACACAAAGAAGCTTTCAGCTACCGCGGTGTTGAGTGCTGGATACAAAAGCGCAGCAGAATTTATACGTCACGTCCTGCCTCCTGCATGTTCTACCCAGGTCCCACCCCTCACCTGAATATTCTGGACATTGTTGAGACAGATGATGATGTAATCAGTGTTACCTTAAGGCTACATCTTAGTTTAGTTTTAAAAATGCATTACTGTAGCTATGCTTGCCGTACATGCTACTCCAGAGTTTTTGAGCACCTGAATCTGAGACATTTGGAAACTATTGGCCACTATTTTAGTTTTAAAACTCTGGGGCTGTGTTGTAGTATGGAGGGACAAGAACTTAAGACATTTAGAAAAGGCGAAGTAGTCAAACACATTCGCTATGTAATAGGTTCTTATCTGTCACAAGATTCTTCAGTGTCATTCTGTTCTTTCCATCTTTTTTTCCAGCAACAGTAGTTTAGTAAGTAACCAAAAGTCTCATCATTGAGGACCAGTCTACTGTCAACATAAATATGAAAGATGTTAAAGTACTGAAGATTAGGAAAGTAAGATTTGTTATCTGTTGAGATGAATTGCTTCGAGCCTGATCACAGCGATTGTCTCGGTCATATGAGGGTGACAGATAGCAGTCACAGCAGCAGCAGGAAATCAGCTGCTCCTGATGCAGCTCAGCAGGTTTCCTGTCTCCTGTTGTCCTACACCAACAGAGGGGGTAAGATCAGAAGACAACTCAGGGACTGACAAACACTGACCGCCACACAGCCCCAGGGTCTTAATGTGACAGTGCAGAGTAGATGGTCCGACCGGCATAACCATCACAAACTGTGATCTGTGTTTGTTTGTCTATGTTTTGTCATCTCTCGCTTGTAACAGTGGAAGATAAAATCACTAATTACTTTCTACAGGAACAAGAGCTTTGTAGAAAACGACTGAAGTAATTTTAGATTCTGAAGGAAGAGCGAGTCGGCATATAAACCCAACTTTTAATGTCATTTAGTCAGTTAGTCTTCAGCTTCATATCTCTGCTCTGTTTCCTTGATACACTCTGCTCAGATTTAAAAAGACAGTTTAGAAAGTCACAGTAGTTCATTGATTTATTGAGCGCTTGGCAGTCAGACGTCATAGGATGTGTGAAGGCACAGAAGTTAAAGAAGACTGTAGATATGTTGTGATACACCGTGAAAAACACATTCTACATGCTGCTCACACAGAGGCAACGACTTATTAAGATGCTTCATAAACAGAATAATAAAACATTTACAGCAGAAAATCTTTCACCTGAACAACAAACCTGTTTAACACAGGGACTCAGCTTCATTTGCAGGTCTACAAAAATACTTTTATTATAGAGAAAACTATAGGAAAGTTTACGTAGAAAATACTAATCTGATGCATTTCAACAGGCAATAATAGAACTATAATCATTTACATTCATTTACCTTTAACAGTAGAAGAGTTTGTGTTACAGGATTATGTCTTCACGTTATTATTACAAACTGTGTGGATTTTGTGTAACTTTTCATCAGCGTGGATTGCCTTTGGCTTTGTATGTCTTCAGATGCTGGGTTAGCTCTTCAATACGTATGTCCTTCAAGTGAACCAGATGCTCTAACCTGCTCACTTTCATCTGCAAGATCTACACACACACACACACACACACACAAAATATAGGATGTGGTAAAGCCAGAGCAAGTTTCTAAAACTGACCTATTTTACTGAAACTTGAGGTGTTGCAAAGTGGTGTCATTATTTGCTTTTTCTTGAACTGCAGATGTGACCACAGATGGAAAAATATAAAAAGAATGTTGTATCCGCTGAGCAGAAGCTGATTCACTGACCAATGATGACACAGTGTATGACACATATCGCACGCACATACACACTCAGAACTGTGACAGAACTGTTCCCCTACTGAACATCAGAAAAGGGAAATGATTTTGTTTGCAGCTGTTTGACTAGTCAGCATTAAGATTCCTGTAATTTGTGTGTGTGTGTGTGTGTGTGTGT